ACTTTGTGGAATGTCAGTTGTAGATGCCGACTTCAGTGATCCGACAAATGGAAAGTTGCTGGTCCGCAAAAAAGGCCGCACTAGAAGAGTTGAATTTGAAATCTTTTTGCTGCACATGAATAGAGAACATCCCTTTAAAATTAAAGCCTTCAGCTTTTCTCGTTCCCAAGTTAGCAGTTTTTCCATCAAAATTTTCACGTGTCTGCGCGTGAATACCGGACGGTATTAAGGAGCAAAATTTGAAATCGTTTGGTCACACATGAGTAAAGTGCATTCCTGTAAAATTTCAGCTTCCTAGCTTTCTTCGTTCCCAGGTTAGTGATTTTCGCTTCAAAATTCCCAAGTGCCCGTATGTGGGTCCCGAGTCTTTTAATCACCTGATTTTACTCGTACATGAGCAGGAAACATTCCCCTAAAGTTTCAACATTCAAGCGTTTCCCTTACCCGGGTTAATAATTTTCGCGCCAAAATTTTCACGTGCCCGTAAGTAAGCCCCGGGCAGTCCTGGGCAACTGAATTTGAAATCTTTTTGTCGTATACGGATAGGAAACATTACCCTAAGGTTTCGGCTTTCTAGCTTTTCTCATTCCCGAGTTGATAGTTTTCCTGCCACTTGCTCATACGCAGGGCCCAGATATGCATGAGAGTTGATACCGCGGTCCTGGGGTGGCGCTTGGCTGGGGAACACACTGGCAAAATTTCAGATTCAAAGCTTGCGTGATTGGTGAGTCGAAATACCCGGACAAACGAACACACACACACACACACATAAACATACACACACACACAAACACAAATACACTGGCAGAGTCGTTGCAACACGCGTTTTTGCTGCCTGCTGCACGCACGGCAAAAACGCATAAAAACGTGCAAGTTTTTTGGCGGGAAAGCGATCTCTGAAACAGACAAGGTAAAGGGCTGAAACTTTGTAGGGGCATTCTCGGTACACTTGTTAGTTAAAGATTTCAAATTCAGCCCCTAGGAATGCGAAGTACTCACGTAAGGGCGTGTGAAAGTTTTAGCAGGAAAACTACTGACTCGGGAGCCAGAAAAGCTAGAAAGCTAAAATTTTGGAAGAATTTCCCTGTTCAAGTACAACTTAAGTATTTCAAATTCAGCCTTGAG